GCTGATATCAGCAGATATCTGTAGGGCATAAACTCAAGTTTCATTTGTTTGTTATAATTCTTCACATTGCCGCTGAGAGCGCTTGTGAATTGTGGAAAACAAAATGGAGACTTATAGTGGCGAGGAAAGAGCACAATGTGTGTTCTGGTTCGAACAAACGAAGAGTGCAACTCAATTTCAGCAAGATGGTGCATCTCCTCATTTCCATACAGATGTCAGAGCATGTTTGTATCTCCACTTCCCAGGTCGGTGGATTAGACGTGTAGGTCCAATCGCTTGGCCACCTCGTTCACCGGATCTCACACCAGCAGATTTTTTCATGCGGCGATACATTAAGGATCACGTTTACCACCCACCCTCACCCAACGATAATAGAGAATTACGGAAGACGATTCGTTTGTTCGAACCAGAACACACATTGTGCTGTTTCCTCGCCACTATAAGTATCCATTTTGTTTTACACAATTCACAAGCGCTCTCAGCGGCAATGTGAAGAACTATAACAAACAAACAAAACTTGATGTTATGCCCTACAGATATCTGCTGATATCAGCACAATTTGGCTGCAGGTAACACGGTTACAGTTCTCCAAAGGTGTGCAGCTACTTTTGACTTACTCTGTATAGATTGCATCATTTCATAATTTCCATTTCTGATATTTGTCGTATATATACACACCTCCCTACTTAATTAGCTGTGTGCCTAAACTCCTCCCTGCTCTCAAGATTCCCAACGTAACAACGGTTTGTTCTTAAAACTACACCAGTCCCATTAATTCTCCCTCTCATACAAGAATTTTGTATACATTGCTTGAGTGTTTGTAAGTTTGGCCCCGTCTTTGTGATGGCATATTACTTTCGATTACGCTAATCAGCGACATTGACACACAAAAAAGAGAATACCAAAATGAATAATTGCCGTCAAAAACAAATAAACAGTTTCGCATCGGTTTAACTGTGCAACCTGTGGTCACATTTTATGTTCTCTCTTAGAACTGAGCGTGTCTAAGCTGCGTTGTCATTCTTTCGCCTGTCCATTCCTGTAAGTAAGGTTTCAGAGCATTTTTGTTGAAAATCCTTCTTTCCCTGCCGTCCGGGCTTCATAAGTCATACGCGGAGGGTGGAATAATTCTCGAAATCATCCACAGTCCATCGTCACGCCAGCAATTACATCTGAAACTACCTGAAACTTAGCCAACGCCAAATAATTTATTTTAACCTCACGTGTTGAAGATGAAGTTCAAAGGATTGAGAAAAAACCCAGTAAATCATTGACATAACTCACGGTGTACCCATAGGAATCTGGTCCCAAGAGCAAATTGGAGCACCCTGATGAAGGCAGATAACGAATTGCGAAAGCCGCATGGAGTTCGTTTAAATTGATACACTTGGAAATCAAATAGGAATGCTGTGTATTTTCTAGATTCGGGTTTTAGTTCTATCCGAAGGAACACCGAGAATAAATCAATTCTGGTAATGAACTGCGTTCCATGGGATCGCTGGAGTGATTCCTGGACTCGTGGTCTGTCCGGCCTGGTAATCTGGTTAATCCTGCGGGAATCTATACAGACCCTCGGTGGCTTTGTTTCTCGCATATCAATGGTCAGAGGTTTCAGATAACTAGAATCACTTGTTTCTATGACGTCGTCCATTAACCACTGCTCAATTTGGTTTCGAACCTAAGTTCTCACAACAAAGGGGATTGGCCCTGAATGACAGACGATTGTGATATCGTAAGCGATTTTAAATTCGTATTCCATAAGCCTACATTTACCCGGCTTCGTCGTAAAATATTTTCGGTACCATAGGAGTGTCTCGAACAACTCATGTTTCTGTTTTAAATTCAAAAAAGTAGCTTCGTCGACCTCTGTGTCGGTCTGAAATCGCCCTAGTATCTCCCATTTCTGTCTTCAGTTCTGAGTTCGATTCCTAGCAAGTTAGCAGGTGGCTCACTACTAAATTCCGGTCAATGCTCCTCGCATGACCACAAAATCCGTCCTCCCGGATCACTAACGTCACACTCCCTATACAAATCCCTGAGGGTCATCAACCCCGAGTGCGGAAATCCTCTCCCAATATCCTTATTCATTTTAATATTATCTTCTGTTGGAACCACGCGATATTCAGTTAATTTAGGTTGAAATACACTAGCGCGTTGGACACTAGTGAATGGCAACGTTCTATTTAGTTCCATTGTGTCAGGCAATATCGAATAATTAGACTGAGATTTGGGGTTCGATACTAGGTCGTCTTCTGTTCCTTCCCTCGCCGTGGAGTCGTAAAAGAACTGGTGATGGCCATCCATACTATCGATTTTCACTGAAAAGCTTCTCTGTTTAAAATCTAATGACTTCGTAATCGTTACGGAAACTTACTCCTAATATAGGCTCCGCCATTAGCTGAGTCGATATCATGAAAGTGTACTCATACGGAACACCATCGACCTTGAAGTCGATTAGGGCCTGCTTGCGAATTTTATTAGTTTTCGATACCCAAGCTGTTGTAAGTACACCATTTACAACTGGTATCTCCGGTACCCTCGTACCACATAATATAAAGGCGTCGTACAACTCATCTGACAACACAGAGATTTCCCTTCCTGCAATATTAATCTCACATGAGGACATCCCCTTAGGTTTCCTCCATTTATGAAGTAAACAGTAATATCTGTCTTAAGGTTGTCGTCAATTTCAGATTTACAAATTTCCATTATTTGGGTTTCTTCCGACTCTTTCCTGCCAAAATTTTGACTACTTGGAATCCAAACTAAAACTGGGGCAGAATTTTCTATATATTACGTGTGTCGCTTCATTATCACTACCTGTTTGAGTTTTCCGGCGTTCTGTCGTTCCGACTGGCAACGTCTCGGTTCAAATTTGTCCTGGTAAAGTGGACAACGAGCGGTCGCTTGTTTCTGCTGATTCCACAGTAATTTGGTTATGGCGACTTTAAACTGCTCATAACTCAACAAATCTTTGTAAATTTCTGTTCACCACTGCTTTGCATAACCATCCGTTACTGCTTAAAGAGTAATCGGCAGTCTAACTGAATCTGACATTGCTCTCAAACGGAAATATTCGTCTAGCTCACTCAAATACTGCACGATGTTCTGTTTAGAAGGGTCTCTGTAAGTGGGTATGACACTACGGCGCACAATAGCCGTGTTGACGCTACTACAATCAACATGTACACTCGAGAACAGTGGTGGACTGGTACTTATTCCAACATCACATTCACTCTCCTGATGTTTGGGTTCATGACGGCAGCCAGACGTTACTGATTGGGCTGAGGCTCCTGGTTCTACACAACCACCCGAATTGTCACTAGCGGGCCCGTCTCTATCACTGTTAGACGGCTGGTCTAAATGTCTACAAGCAGCTGATAATTTCTCCTCCAATATTACTAATCAAGACGTTACTTCTCCTATCTTGGACTGACTATCCTTCTATGCAGTCTCTAATCGACCCCAAAGTCCACTTATATTGGTCTCATCCTCATTGCTTCGAACGGGTCCTGTCTAAAATTTTGCATTTCCTACCGAAAAGTGATTCTCGCCTATGCTCAAATTTTCCCCTGTTCATCTGTTCATTATTTCGCTTGGCTTCCGCAATATTCTCTCGCGTCTGCTTATTCACACTCGCAGTCATTTTCTTAAGATTCTCGTCTGCAAGTTTAATTTCATGTTGGGTGCCCTCTCTGAGACTTGATGCTTCGCTAGACAGTTTGTTTATCTCTGATCGATTACGCTTTACAATAGCCTGATTCAGCTTATCTATCTCACACTTTGCTTTAACAGTAGTTCAAAGTTACACAACATACCAGATCGAAGCTTATCTACAGAATGAGTCAAAGCTTTATAACAGATGCTCAAAGATTGTTCCTCCATTCTACACAAATGCGCGAGCACGACGTACACAAGACTGACGAATTCGTTCGTACACACCAGGGTTTTCTCGAATCATTTGGCATGCATTCTGCACACGTTTCCATAGGTCGTCATCATTGTTTATGGGTATTGCATAAACGACGAACTTCAAGGGATCCACAGATAAAAGTCCAATGGAGTCAGGTCCGGTGACCTCGGTGGCCATGCTACTGGGCCACTGCGTCCAATCCATCGCTGAGGGTACTGTTTATTGAGATGATATCTGACGCAATGGGAGACATGTGCTGGGGCTCTGACGTTCATAAACCACATTTGTCTTTTTGTATTCAGTGGTACAGTTTCAAGGAGACGTGGCAAGTGTCTTCTTAAGAATCGCCGATATGAAGGTCCTCTTAGACGCGATGGAAGCATGTGTGGACCAATGAGCATGTCGCCAACAATTCCTGCCCAAACGTTAATTGAAAATATTTGCTGGAAGCTGGATTATCTTTGACGTAAAGCCATTCATTGAAACTTATTTTTGGCTATTATTTCGAAAATGAAACATTTTCGACCCAATGCTCAAAGGAAATGTTTTGTTATTTTTGAACTTGGAACACGCATATAAGTTTGTAAACATACTTTTGACACAACCTGTATTCTGTTTCTGTCCTGCCTAAAATGTCCATTCTTTTTCTCCGCCTCTATCCTGATTCTCATACCCTCCTTTCTGCCTTCTTGCAAAGAGTTCCAAATTATGTCTAGTAAGTTCCCTACAGCCTGCGCTCCCCCGGCCAATGAAACGGTTGACTTTTGGTTTAGAATATCTGCGCCTGTCGATACCTGCTGACCCGGAAATTCATCTGTCCCATAAATTTCACTCTCGTACAAAGGTTTTCCGCACTGTAAATCAAAATCTTAATTTCCGTCTATACGTACGTCTGCAACCTCACACACAAGTATTTTGCTCCTCAGTTGCCTCCCTGTCGTTCTGGTTGTACTGACTGGCCTGTTTTTTGTTTGTATCTGTTAATCAGTCGTAGACCCGGAGCTCGGTGTCCTTGGTTCGGTAGACCTCTCTGTTCGCGCTCACTTTAACTCCTTGTGAGTGCTGCTGGGTTCACTCACCGACTTCTTCGGATGACTGTTTGGAAGTTCCTCGATTTTTCGTGCTCACGTTTTTGCGTCAACTCTGCTGCAACCATCCGTTTCGGTTGTAGCCTTTGGTGACGATGGAATTTATGAGTTAGTTCGGGGGAGCCTAGCTCAGGTGGACATGAGGCTTGTGGTCTGGGGATATTGCGTGGAGGAGTATAAATTGAACGCCAGCGAGGAGGTTTGGACAGTGGTTTCCGGTAAAAAGTCCCGTCGTTGCAGTGTAGAAACAAAAACAATTCGTTCAGACGACTAACACAGTAGTTTATTTCTGCAGTTAACAGTCACTCTCCGTCGATCGTAGGACAAGAATCAGTCTGCGTGTCTCCTTGCCGGAATCCAGAATCAGAGTGCCCCCTTTTGAGTGTCCTCCCCACTACATCCCTCCCCCACTTACCCAGATCTACCCCACATCATCAACCAAACCCTTCAGTTCAACTACAGCTTTCTTCCGGTCACAGTCCACTCTACTTAAACAGGTAAGGTACTTAAGACACAGTTCAGTATGTGGTAAAGTCAACAAGAGAAAATATGTGTACAATTCAGCATTTATATCTTTTAGTTTCGAACAATTAAATAAACCCACCTGAAGGTGACCAGTTACGGTCGAAACATTTAGTGAATCTTAATAAACATTAAACTATAATAAAAATTGTCGTGTAGACGGACTGTCAACAAATAACAGGATAAATCCCTCAAAACTCTAATGGAGTCTTCAGACGTGATGTAGACGTAAATAATTTACATCACATAAAAGCTAACCTATCTTTGTGTGCAGTGGTTAAAACCGTGTTTAGACACGTAGCATACTATTATTTGAGGTCATTCACTTGATAAAGCGTCGATAAACAATCTAATCAGTGGTCTACATCCCGAGCATAGTCTAATTGTGTTTTTCGTCTATTTGCGCAAGTATTCGGCTACTCCATGGGAAACATCTTCGCCTGCATCCTGCTGCAATGCCTTCTGGGATATTCTTCGGGCGCCCGGATTCTGGGAATTTTTCCTCACGTCGCTAAAAGCCACTTCATGATGTCCGAGGTTCTGATGAAAGGTTTAGCAGCCAGAGGTCATGAAGTAACTGTGATAAGTCATTTCCCTCAGAAAACTCAGGTAGCAAATTTCACAGACATCAGCCTCATTGGGTCCATGCCGAGTTTCGTCAGCACTGTGCCTCTGGATGACATAGCAACAGGATGGGTTTACACCACAGTGAAAATCGTGTCAGAACTTGGTGTCACCGGATGTGAGAAGACATTATCTCATCCTCCAGTTCAAAAACTTATGAATTCTAAAGAAAAGTTTGATCTGGTTATCACAGAACTCTTCAATACGGATTGCTACGTCGGATTTGCATACAAATTTAAAGTTCCATTTATATCCATCGTTACAACGCCATTGCTACCCTGGGGATATGAAAGATTTGCAAATCCTGATAACCCTGCGTACATTGGAAACATTTTCCTAGGACATTCTGATAGAATGTCTTTCTTAGAGAGGCTGGTAAACACGGTATATATGAAGATATTACAATGGGAATATCATTACTGGTTTGACATGCCTTCCCAGATGATAGCAAGGAAATACTTTGGAGAGACATTGCCTCCTCTGGCGGATATTGTACGAAACACGAGTTTAGTTCTGGTTAACAGGCACTTCACATTGAACCAACCTGTTCCAAACGTACCCGCTGTCATTGAGGTTGGCGGACTTCACGTGGAGGTGCCGAAGAAACTCCCTGAGGTAAGTGAGAAAAACATCAAAGACGCCAACGGATTCGAGCCTCCCCGGGTACTGGATGCACAACTCCCCATAATCTTCTTCCTTGTTAATACCTTCAGATAATCTACTAGCTTCCTCCCAGATCTCTTACAGTTCACTGTACATAATCATTTATTTCACGATGTAATTAACTGGTGCTAATAGTTCATGCAGTGTCGTTAGAAATACATGAAGAGTAAAAAAAGAAAAATACTAAAACCGTAAACCTGCTGAGAAGGTTAACCCAAAGGCCTTAGATTTGAAAGGTACGAGGTTTGAATCTCTGCTGTTGTCCCCTTTCCTTTATTGATGAATTTTCGGACATTCCTCAGTATCTAAAGAAAATTATCAATAACCACTGCGGTTTTATCTTATATTCTTTTGTAATCAATATTCATAATTACCATAGTTTATTATTATACGTTCAGTGTCAATTGATTCAACACGGTAGAACAACTAAAACAATTTACCCTTCATAAAGTCAAGGACGCTTCAGGGGTTCGTGCAAGTCGGCCGAAAACTGACGGCATTAAATATTTGTTTCTGTGTCACTGAAAACTTGTGATGACGTCCAACAAAATCCGAATGCATATTCTGCGAATTTATTAAAATAATGATCAAACTGCATGCTAATACAATACGAGGCATTCTTGCAGTAAAAGAATGGTCAGCAAATATGCGTCTATGCTAGTGTTCCGCAACTGATGTGCCACTGCAAGGTTTCAGGTCTGACGCGAATTGTTATATTCGGAGTTAATAGTTAGGAAAAGGAAATGTATTATCTTTCGTAATCAGAATTCCTATCATACACTGAAAATGGATCGTCATCGATTGTTTAATTTAACGTGTCACAAAGTTAAAATTATTTGGGAACAATAACATATCGATATGATATTCAGGAGGAAGTTAGGAGGAGACTAAATTCCGGAAATGCTTGCCACTTCTCTGTTCAAAATATTGTGTCTTCCCGTCTGATTTCTAAGAACCTGAAAATTAAAGTATACAAAGAAATAATTTTGCCTGTTGTTTTGTATGGGTCCGAAACATGGTCTCTCACTCAGAGGAGGAACAACGATTTCAGGTGTTTGAGAATAGGGTGTTGAGGAGGATATTTGGGCCTAAGAGGGAAGACGATGAGGCGTGGAGAAAACTGCATAATGACGAAATTAAAAATTTGTACTCCTCCCCCAATATTGTCAGGGTGATTAAGTCGAGAAGAATGAGATGGACAGGGCATGTAGCGGGCATGGATGGGACAAGAGGTGTGCACCGGGTATTGGTTGGGAAACCTGAAGGCAAGAGACCGCTGGGGAGATCTAGACGTAGATGGGAGGATAATCTCAGGCGGGATCTATGGGAGATAGGCGTTGAAGGAGACTGGATTTTGTTGATCCGGTACAGGGACCGGTAGAGGGCTTTGGTTAGTTCGGTGATGAACCTTTAGGTGCCAGCTACTTAGTTGTGTTTTGTTTTTATATACTTTTTTGTGACAAAAGTTTGTGGTGGGTGGAACAATTACAAGATTTTTGAGCTACCGAATGTATGACTATACTTCTTTCGGATAAAGTCTGAGCGTTCATTGAGTTGATGTGTGTGCGTGCTTCGTGCTCCAGAAGCCAAGAAGAAATCTGAGGTAAAGTGATTCCATCAGATTTTGTAGTTATTATAGAAGTCCACAAAGATTCTCTCCATTGTGACTTCAGACTCGAAGAGAATCCATTTGGAAAACTCGTGTGTATATGAGGTTGGACGCATAACGGCGCGCTAGTAGCCGACGGGATCTGCGATGAGACAATATTTTCCTAATTTCGGACTGGCATTTGATCCTAATTCTGAGCAGTTGTAGTATGTTCCATAATGTTATTGTTAAGATATTTTAAATTTATAAAAATCATACAGCTCTTAAAATACAGAGCCCATAATGTTATTTATTACAAAAAACAATAATTTATTACAGACATTAGGGACGTATTAAGCTGATCTCAAACAATTTCCAGCTAACAAACATGCAGTGATGGAAAGAAGGCGACAGTTAACTTTTCTCTTGTAGAATGTATCCAGGGTCTTAAGATTACACACAGGTAAAAATACAGAATTTTATGCATTGTGAAACGGACTACAATATATTCCGCTAGGATATCGACAAGTATCTGAACGAATCTGAGCATGGAGCCATTTTCTTCAGTCTCGGTTCTACTGTCCGCGCGGATACTTTCAGCCAGCAGAAAATTGATGCATTTCTGCAGGCGTTTTCGGTTCTGCCACAGCGAGTCCTCTGGAAGTGGGAGGGAGAGGCACTGCCAGAACACCCCAAGAACATAAAGATCGCAAAATGGCTGCCACAAGCAGATGTTCTTGGTGAGTAAACTAAATGAATCATTAGACCGCCATCATTGTTTACTTCTTAGATATTAGTACATACCAGTGAGAAACATTGTTGAGCTCTCGTTTTATAAGTGGCCGATACGTAATGGACTAATTATCTCTGAAATATCAATTGATCACTGAATTGTTTATAAAAACGTGACCACTTTGTAATTTTCTCAAATGCATTAAGCGTGTAGATTATGCAGATTTTAAAAAAACTTGACAAATACTGTCGCCCGTTCGAGTGATGTAAATTTATTTTGTTAACTGGCGTGCAATGATTCACAATATAGATTTATGTTAAACACAATTTAAATATTTCCCTTTCTTTAGTAAGATTTGGAAGGTTTTAGTTTTCTCTAAATCAGGGGTTCTCAACCTTTTTCGTTGGCGTACCACTAATTTTAATTTGACACATGAAATGTACCACTAACCAAATGCGTTTAGAGAAAACTTATATATGTGAATATTAACTTTTAATTTTCTTACTTAGTTCGCGTACTACTCAACATTGGCTCGCGTACCACCAGCGGTACGCGTACCACAGTTTGATAAACGCTGCTCTAAATAATAAAAAATCAATTACGAGGACATGTGTGCCTCAGTCTGTAAATATACCAATTTGACACATTAAGACGACACAAATGAAAATTCTTGAAAAGAGTGGTAATAACAATTGGAATGTTGGCCTTAAATATTAATTGATATTCTTATATGCGTTTTGATAAATAGCAATACATAGTGTAGCGTAAATAACACATTTGGAACTTTTATGTACTCCTAACACTACACCTTTCCAGTCATGTTTTGAGTAGCCTAAATGAAATCGATTGTTACGTCAGGGTAGTAAAATGAAAAATAATGTTAAAAAAGTAAATTTTTTGGACGCAGCATTTTAGTCACATTTGAATTGAGAGACTGCGTTTCGCTGTAGCCAGTTTCGCTTTGCAGGCCATCCCAACGTCAAAGTGTTTATCACCCACGGCGGGCTCATGGGCACTATGGAAGCGGTGTTTAATGGGGTTCCGATGGTCGCGATCCCGCTATTCGGTGACCAGTTTCATAACGTGAGAAACTATGAGGAGGAAGGTGTCGCCATCAAGTTGGATTATTCGACTATTACGAAGGAGAAGGTGTTGAGAGCCCTAAAGGAAGTTCTCAACAACCCCAGGTATTAGGGTCTAGTTCTAACAAGTGACAGTATCCGTCATACCATCTGCTTTATCATTTAGTAAACTTCGGATTTCACCCACAATGTACTGATTTGTGGCAAAGATATATTGCGGGCTGTTATGAACGCTAGTTTGTCCGTAGGTAAAACACACAATCTTTCATGGAACCTGAAGATACTTAACTGAGTTCACAACAGACCATGACGAAATCTTGTTCTAAGCCAATTGAGGCTGTCTCCAAGTCACTCAGAAAATATGTGGCCAACATCCAGGGCGAACACGACATCAGAGAACTGCAGAAAACTGCCATTTTAGGATCGTCATACATCATTCGAAAGACGCTGTTGTAAAATATATAGTCATCTCTAACAATAAAATTATATAATACATGTAATATGTATTAAAAACAAAATGTATCCCGGAAATAACTGCTGCCCTATGTACCTTAGGGACAAGGTCTGTCTCGGGTACATGGAAGTACAAACCCTATAGTGGCGGATAGATGGGATAATAATTCAATTCAATTCAATTCATTTATTAAAGTGCTTGACAACAGCCAAAAAGGCCAATAACAGCCAAGCACTAACAACAATACAAACATTACAATACAAAAGCAAACAAACAATGAACTGAAAACATAAATGTACAATATTGATTTATTGCAAAATAACTAATAAGTAAAAAACTAAATGTTATAGATAAGTAAAGTAATAATTAAACTAAAATCAGTTCAATTTTGGACAAACAACATACAAGATAAAATATTATACTAAATAAATAATAAAAAAGAACAATGATTATTGTTTAAAAAGCTGACTGACATCAGTAAGCAAAATACGATCTTTGTTAAAGATGTCGATGCTCCTGCAGACTGCATTGGCACCAGAAACGCATCTGGCAGAAGGACTGGCCTTGAAATTACGTTGTACAGTAAAGGTAGAGTAGTCTCTGATAGACCTAGTGGGTATGCAGAGACTAACTGTATCAAAAACAGATGAGCAACTAATTTTGCCTTTAAAAACATTGATGAGGAAAAGCGCATCCAAAAGCCTCCTCCTTAAATGTAACGATAAGAAGTTTAATCTAAGTAGTATATCATCGTAATTATAGGCACAAACGCTATTAAAGAATCTAGCGTAACATAGAGCTACAAATTTCCTTTGAATCCTTTCCAATTTAAAG